GGAGTTACATAGCCAGGACGAGGCAGAGCAAGGATTTGAACTGAGGTTTGACTGACATCAGAGCCTGTGCTTTTTACCTCCTGTGCTATATTAAGTCTGTCCACCCTTCAGTTGATTGGCTCAGCAAGGGGAGGAGGCTTTGTGGGGGATCTGCTCGTGGTTGGGGTGGCTGCCCCCCTCTCATATCAAGAGATGGGAAATAGTGCTGACGTCAATTGTTGCCATGGTGACACAGCAACCCTTTCCCTGCCGTCTCCATGGAAACCTGGGGGTCCATCTGTACTTCAGTTCGCCCCCTCCTTCTAAAAGGGGGTCCCTTAGGGAGGGGCCAGCTAATAAGGTATCTGAGAGAGAAGTCAGGGAAGGCAGCAATTCAAACATCTTTTTCTGGGTCCCTTGTCATTGCTCAGGCCCAGAGGCTAAGGCTTGGGAGCAGGGGGTCCTGTACCATAGTCTCTGGGCCGCTCTACCCTTGAGGATGAAACGTGCAGCACTGCTTTTCTAACTAGGGATTTTTCTAGAAGCTGTTTTCCCTAGGCTCCAGATCCAACCCTCCACAGACTGGTGACAGTATCCTTGGCTGCCTGACTCTCTGCTGCCCCTTGAAATCAAAGGTCGGAGCAATGCAGCCTCACTTTTTCAAAGGTTAGCTGAGTCCAGCCTCCTGTTTGGTACTATATCGATAGGACCTTACCAAAACCTCGCAGGGTGAACATAACCCCCTTTTCCAGATATGGACATGGAAACTCAGAGAGGCTTAGATATCAGCCCAAGGTCACACAGTGAGTGGCACAGACAGGACTTGAACTCAGGACAGGAGTGGAAGCCGGAGGCTTTTCTGGTTAGGAGGAGGAAGGAACAGAGCAGAATGGAGTCTGGCTTAGCCTGTTGTCTGTAGAACAAAGCTCAGACTCCTGGGCTTGGGCCTCAAGGCTTCCTTGATGCACCTTTTCTCTGTTGGTCTGTCGCTTGAGCCTCTGTAGTGGCTGGACTTTCCGCATGGCCTGGGCTTGAGTGGGTGAAATCTTACATTTCTGAACTTGCTTTCCACCGTCCTGCCTTAGAGCCTTTGCCACAGTGCTTCACCTGGAATGTTACTTTCTCGGGCTCACCGGCGTTCTGGAACTAGTTAGCTCCATGGTCGGTCTTGGTCAGGTCAGTGCTGGGAGTCAGCCTCCCTTATACACCAAGCATACAGGAGGTGGCAGGAAATCCTTGTGTTATAGGTTTTTTTTTTGTTCTTGTTTTTTAGCATTTTTTATTTGTCTAGTATATTTTTATGGTCTTTTTAAAAGAAAATGAAGGTTGAGACAAGGGCGGGGCAGGGAAGGAAATACCAGAGATGAGAGGAAAAAGAGAGAACGGGAAGGATTCAGCCTTTCAGGGCTGGATGAGTCCACAGAGCCTAGCATTTAAGGACCACCTGGGAGAGCTTGAGTGGAAACCAACAAAGGTTCTTTAGTTGGGTGTGGTGGTGCACTGTAATCCCAGCTCTGAAGGTAGTAGGAGGTGGTCGAATGCCAGGCTCGAGACCTGCATAGAAAATCTGCCTTAAAAAAATAAGAAGGGGCTGGAAAGACAACTCGGCAGTTAAGAGCTCTGGCTGCTCTCAGAGGTCCTGGGCTCTATCCTCCACACCCACGCAATGACTCAAACTGCCTGTCCCTCCAGTTCCAGGGGATCTAAGACCCTCTGCTGACCTCTGCTGACAGTGCTTGCAGCAGATACATATGCACGGTAGAAAACATCCATACATATACACTAAAAACAAATCAGTCTTTTAAAAAAAGAAAAAACAGACAACCATTTAACAGCAACTAGGAGGAAGAGGCAGGCAGATTTCTGAGTTTGAGGCCAGCCTGGTCTACAGAGCTAGTTCCAGGATAGCCAGAGAAACCCAGTCTTGAAAAAAAAATTTTTTAAAGGATGGGTTGGTAGAACACTTCCTTAACAGGTGTAAGGCCCCGGCTGTACCCTCAGTGACAAATCAAACTGGTGGTGGCACAAGCTTTGGCACAGGCCTATGTCTAGCTTTGGTTACCTAGTGAGCTTAAAGTCACATCAGGCTACATTAGACCCCGTTTGGGTTTGTTTTTATTCTTATTGTTTATAAACAAACAAACCAAAAATTAAATTGCCTTTTCAGATGACCATGGGGTCTGAAGTAGTCTATCAAGGGAGCGCACCCCACCTCGTGTGGGTCAGGGAAACTTTAGAAATTTACTCAAGGTCTCAAGGGGCTGCTGATCAAACTAGATCTTTGGGTTACATATCTTCATATCTTTTTTTTTAAGATTTATTTATTCTGAGTCAGGTGGTGGTGGTGCATGCCTTTAATCCCAGCACACGGGAAGCAGAGGCAGGTGGATCTCTGTGAGTTCGAGACCAGCCTGGTCTACAAGAGCTGATTCCAGGACAACCTCCAAAGCCACAGAGAAACCCTGCCTCAAAAAACAAACAAAACAAAACAAAACAAAAAGATTGATTTATTCTGTATACAGTGTTCCCTCTGCATGTATTCCTGAAGGCCAGAAGAGGGCACCAGATCTCATTACAGATGGTTGTGAGCTACCATGTGGGTCCTGGGAATTGAACTCAGGACCTCTGGAAGAGCAGCCAGTGCTCTTAGCCACTGAACTATCTCTCTAGTCCCACATATCTTCATATTTAAAGAGGAAAAAAATACAACAGATTATAGGGCCTGATGTAGTGACATATACCTGTAGTTTACTTGGGAAGTTGAGTCAAGGAGATCAAAGTTAAAGGCCAGCCTGGGCTACAAAGTAAGATTTTTTAGAAGATTTATTTATTTATTACATATACACCAGATTGAATTGTAGATGGTTGTGAGCCACCATGTGGTTGCTGGGAATTGAACTCAAGACCTCTGGAAGAGCAGTCAGTGCTCTTAACCTCTGAGCCATCTCTCCAGCCCCCACAAAGTAAGATTTTTGTCAAACAAAACAAAACAAAACACCAACCCCCCCAAAAAGACCCTAAACTAAAAATCCAGAATAACTACCATCATCACCATTATTTCTATAGAATAACAATATCAAAATTGGCATGTGTTCCACTTAAATGTGCTCCTTTCTTGGGAACCTTTTTGTCACAGCTCCTGCTATGGGGTGGGGGTGTTCAAGGCATTTATTGTGAGATGGAATAGTAGTTTGTTCCAGCATTACCCATTATTTGAGAAACCATGGGCAAGTTCTTTAATTCCTCATCTATAAGACAGGTAATTAAGAAATTTGACAGAAAAAAATTTGACAGAGAAACCCTGTCTCAAAAAAACAAAAGAAAAAAAGAAAAAAAAAAGAAAAAGAAACGGGGGGGGGGCAGCTGGAGAGATGGCTCAGTGATTAAGAGCACTGATTGTTCTTCCAGAGGACCTGGGTTCAATTCCCAGCATCCACATGGCAGCTCACAACTGTCTGCAATTCCACTTCCAGGGACCCGACATCTATGGCAAAACATCAATGTACATAATAAAAAAAATTGGGGGGCCAGGAATGGTGGTGTACACCTTTAATCCCAGCACCCAGGGAGCAGGGTACTGTGCATCTCCAGTTCAGAGACAAAGTAAGTTCTAGGCCATGTCATAAAAAAAATCTTGGGCGCCGAGCGGTGGTGGCGCACGCCTTTAATCCCAGCACTCGGGAGGCAGAGGCAGGCGGATCTCTTGTGAGTTCGAGGCTGGGCTGGACCGACAGCCTCGAAAACAATACAGAGAAACCCTGTCTCGAAAAACAAAACAAAAAAAAAATCTTGGGCAGTGGGGGTGGGTGGGTGGGCGGTGGGGTGGGTAGGTGGGCGGTGACTGGAGGTGGGGTGGGTGGGTGGTGACTGGAGAGGTGGGGTGGGTAGGTGGGCGGTGACTGGAGAGGTGGGGTGGGTAGGTGAGGTGGTGACTGGAGAGGTGGGGTGGGTAGGTGAGGTGGTGACTGGAGGTGGGGTGGGTAGGTGGGCGGTGACTGGAGAGGTGGGGTGGGTAGGTGGGCGGTGACTGGAGAGGTGGGGTGGGTAGGTGAGGTGGTGACTGGAGGTGGGGTGGGTAGGTGGGCGGTGACTGGAGAGGTGGGGTGGGTAGGTGGGCGGTGACTGGAGAGGTGGGGTGGGTAGGTGAGGTGGGTAGGTGGGCGGTGATTGGAGGTGGCTTACCTGTGGTGCCCACACATGCATACAGCTAAAACAATCATATCCATAAAGTTAAATTAAAATCTAAAAAAAATCAAGTTTTTCAAATAACTTTCTCCTCAGTCAGTAACCCCCATAGTCGTAATTGAAACCGAAGGTCCAAATAGGTGGGGTCCTCTACAGCAGGTCAGGAGGCCGCAGAGTGCTGAATCTAATTCTAGTTTGGGAGAATTACATAGACTTGCTGTGGTCAGTGTTTATTTTTTTCTACGTTGTCCACTCATCTTTCCCTCCTTTGCTTCATTCCTGAGCTGCTGTGAACAGCCAGTGTCCCACAGAGAAACCCAGGACAGGGAAGGGGAGACTGACAACTGGAGTATTCTGCGGGTGAAGGGTAGCAAGAATTCCTTGGAAGAGGGGGACAACCCGCTAGAGCCATGGTTCTCAACCTTCCTAATGCTGTGACCCTTTAATACATTTCTCCACTTTATGATGACCCGCAATCATACATCATCATCATCATCATTATTAGGTTTTTCGAGACAGGGTTTCTTTGTTATGCTTTGGAGGCTGTCCTAGAACTTGCACTGTAGATCAGGCTGGGCTCAAACTCAGAGATCTGCCTGCTTTTGCCTCCCAAGTGCTGGGATTGAAGGCGCGCTCCCCCATCTCCCTGCTTTTCTATGGTCTTAAGCGACCTCCTGTGAAAGGACCATTCGCCCTCAAATGGTCGAGACCTACAGGTTGAGAGGGAGGCTGGTCTGAGGGAGGAGGCAGCCCAAGGGATAGCCGGGTGACACTGGCTAGCGCAGAGCAGCCCGTGGGCCCAATCCGACGGATACACATACACGGCCAGCCCGGAGTGGAAAGAACAGTTTATGCTGTGCTTTATTAAAATGTGCATCATTCTTTTATTTTAAAATGTGCATCATTGTCTCGTGCTCGGCGCGTGCGACCTCAGCGTGGTGGCCCGCGGCTGGCCTCGTCCTGCCCGGCTCCTGCGGAGCTGCCGTGCGTGCGCAGGCGCACTCAGGTGGCACGGGCCCGAGGGCTCCCGCCCATGGCCAGGTAGACGTCGATGGGCACGTGCAGCAGCGTCAGACAGTGGCAGCCCGGGCAGCGTCGGAGCGGCCTGGCGAAAGCGGCAGGCGACAGGGGGCGCATAGTGTTGGAGTGTGCCCGGGGGTGCACCTGGGGTCCTCTGGGGTAGGGCCCTGGGGATGGCGATGGGGCGGGGCCGAGGGGCAGGGCATTGGCCTCACCTGACAGGGTTATGATCCGTAGCTACAGGCTCCGGGCTGTCCTGGGACTCGGGGGCGGAGGCAAGGCCAGGGGAGTCTCCGGCCTCAATGGGGAATCTTCGACCCTGTGGGGTCTCCTGGGCACTCATGTCCAGGCCCCGGGGCACTCTGCGCGGGGAGTGGCGGTCAGGCGGCTGGGGGCCCTGGGCGCTCCCTGCCCGTGCCGCCTCCTGTGTCGTGGCTTACCTGCCGGAGGCCGAGGCCGGTCCCAGGCTGGAAGCAACTGCCCGAGCCCTGGCCGCGGGAGGACGCTCCGGTCCAGGCGGAGCCTGGCAGGTGTCTGCTGCTCGCTGGGGCCCCAGCGTCGAAGGGGAGGGCTGCATTGTGACCCCGGTCTGTGGGTGCTGACCTCACACAGCCTGTTCTCGCTGGAATTCTAGGCTGTCCCAGGCCATTCGGGCATTTAGTGAGGGCCTGAAGCCAGAGGGCTCTGGCGACCGCATCTTGGTGACTGATTTGCACTATCCCCCAACAGCTCCATGAAGACTTCGGAGATAAGGGTTACCGAGCCCACATGGAGAAGGCCCGCATCCCCGGCCTACACAGTCACCCGGGCCCCTTCTCTGGCACTGTTACCACTAGCTGCCTTACTCATGAATGATTTAAACCAGGCTGGAGTTTGCTGGTGGTGGTGAGGGAAAGTAGGGACACTGCCCATGTTGTCTGAGGGTCACACAGCATTTACATCACAATTGCACAGGAGTTTAAAAATGTCTGGTCCTCTCCCTCCCCACCACCCGTGGCTGTGTCCAGACGGAGAATGTTCTAGCCCTGGAGGCAGCTGTGGATGAAGTCCTTGGGGGGAAAAGAAGCAGGCCAAGGGCGATGGTGGAGTAGAGCTGCCTCGAGGAGGCAGCATGAGCTGAGAGGGTGACAAGGAGGAGGCGCTACACAGCATGGAGGACTTTCTACTCTCCAATGGGTACCAGCTGGGCAAGACCATTGGGGAAGGGACCTACTCAAAAGTCAAAGAAGCATTTTCCAAAAAACATCAAAGAAAAGTGGCAATTAAAATTATAGACAAGATGGGAGGGCCAGAAGGTGAGCTGGGGCCCTTTGGAGGGTGGGCTAGCCAACGGTGGCAGGTGCTTCTCTCAGTTCTTCCCTGCTAGTCAGAATGGCATTAAGCCACACGACTCCCCTGAGGTCTGTAGTGGCCCTGGGAATGCGGGGAATCCAGGATCGTTGCATCTTCCCACATCCACAAAGCACAAGGCAAAGCGGCCTCAGGTTTTGCTATCCCACGTGCTGGCTAGAAGATGACAGGAACCTGTGCCAGGTGGAGACGGGACAGGAAGACAGGGCTCCTGGGAAGAATCCTGGGATTCAATAGCTTTGTCTGGTTTCTAAGCACCCCTTTATCTGTGGTCTCATGGGCTGCAGGGAGGAGGTTCCAAGGATGAGTTAGCCCTGAAATAATAAAAGGGTACTTGCTGCTAGAACATCTGAGACTATTCAGGGAGTCAAGGAGGGACAGATAGACATGGTGGGTGTCCAGAAGCCAGGAAACAGGAGTCCGGAGCGAGGAAATGAGACCCTTATGATTCTGATAGCCCCCTTTGCCTCCCCGCTTGCCCTGCAGAGTTTATCCAGAGATTCCTGCCTCGGGAGCTCCAGATTGTTCGTACCCTGGACCACAAAAACATCATCCGCGTGTATGAGATGCTGGAGTCGGCAGATGGAAAAATCTACCTGGTGATGGAACTGGCTGAGGGAGGGGATGTCTTTGACTGTGTGCTGAACGGAGGGCCACTTCCCGAGAGCCGGGCCAAGGCCCTCTTCCGCCAGATGGTTGAGGCTATTCGCTACTGCCATGGCTGTGGCGTGGCCCACCGGGACCTTAAGTGTGAGAACGCCTTGTTGCAGGGTTTCAACCTGAAGCTAACCGACTTTGGCTTTGCCAAGGTGCTACCCAAGTCACGCAGGGAGTTGAGCCAGACCTTCTGTGGCAGCACAGCCTATGCCGCTCCCGAGGTACTACAGGGCATACCCCATGATAGCAAGAAAGGTGATGTCTGGAGCATGGGTGTGGTCCTGTATGTAATGCTCTGTGCAAGCCTACCTTTTGATGACACAGATATCCCCAAGATGCTGTGGCAGCAGCAGAAGGGGGTATCCTTCCCCACTCATCTGGGCATCTCAACTGAATGCCAGGACCTGCTCAAGCGGCTCCTGGAACCAGACATGATACTCCGGCCTTCAATTGAAGAAGTTAGTTGGCACCCATGGCTAGCAAGCACTTGATAAAAGCAATGGCAAGTCCTCCCCAATAAAATAGGGGGAGAAAGCAAACCCAAAAACCCGCTTCTAAAATGGTGATATCTTACACTATAAGTTCACTTACTCCATAGCTTACTTCCATCTCCCCAACATGGCCCCACAAGCCCCTTACCAAGACATCTTTCCTCTAACAATGCCCCTGGAACCAAGGGCCTTACCCAGATTTTTATTAATGGTCCTCTAACGATGCTTATAAGTGTTAAAGCTCATTAAATTAGACCCTAAAATCATCATGGATGGGGTGAAGAGAGGAGGAACAAGACCCATTGGAACCACTCAGGTGCTGCAACTTGCTTTCCAAATAAAAGCAAAAGCATTTGGGATGCAGAGACGGAGAGGCTGGTCGGCTCATGCCTTTCTCAGACCAGAGGCCTCAGGAGCCAGTCTAAACCCCACCTGTGCTCCCGGCTCCAGGCAGGAAGTCACATGTGCAGTTGCAGAAGCCTTTCCAGTATGGCTGCCAAGGGGGACAGAAACATCCCCAGACACTTCTGGCTTCTGTTCAATCACTTTAATGCTGTTATGGCAAATCTGTAAAAGGTTCAGGACAAACTTTTTTTTTGTTCCTTTTTAATTATAAAACTAACAGCTGTTAGAATTTTTCTTTTTCCTTTTTTTTTCTTTTTTTCTTTTCCCAGCTACAAAATACTCTGGGGAGATGCAGTATAATTTAAAATATATAATATTGCACAAACAACCAAAAGGTTAATTAAACTAAAATAATTACAAAGAGAAAACCCCATCCCATCCAAAAAAAGAGAAAGAATTAGCATTCTCTCTGTCCTACCCCCTTCACTGAAGGTTTGAAGTGAAGTGCCCACCATTCATGGTACCCCTGACAAGATCCCTTTAAATAAGTCACTGGTGTATGCACCAGTGCCTAGAATCACCAGTATGACCTCTGTGGAGTACCAGGTCTCTGTGTGGCCCTCACTGAGCCCCAGGCTGGTCTTCAGGAAGGAGCTCTGCAGGAGACAGCGAGTCTCAGGGTGCTTGCCCCAGCCCATCCCTTCAGGAGCAGAGGACTGAGGAGGAGCTGGCCTGCTGATGGACTGTGAACACTCGCTTCTGCTCACCCCTTCATAGAGCTCACAGCTGGCTTGTGTCCTAAGCTATGGGTCAAGGTAGGTAGCTGCTCAGAGCACAGAAGGGCCTGAACATGGCTCCCTCCCTTCTTGGGGAGGGAGAGAAACACAAGAGCAGACTCTTGTGGCGGCACAGCTGGACTAAGGACATGGGTGCATCTGACATGAAAAAGCCCTGGGAAGATGTAGGGATATCCCAGTGTAGGCTAAAGGAGAGTCAAGGTTTGGTCTTCAGATTCTGAACCCATGGACCTTTCCAGGAGTGGAAAACGCTTGGGAGGGAGATTCCACAGAGAGGCAAATTTCTCAGAGATGATTGCTTCTTACTCACTGGGACAGGAACCAAAACACTCTCAAGGGCAGGTGCCACAGCCTTCTTCCTTGTTAGCTTACTAGCTTATGGGTCCTCAGAGACCAGTGCTTCAGCTCCTGTCTGTACAGAAGAGAGCTACCCCAGGAGGTTTCCCAGAAGGAATCCCTAGAACAGCAGAGAAATGCAGGCTCTCCGGTGATGGGGTACGGGTCATGCCTTTAGGTCATCCTAAGGTTGGCACAAGTCAGACTTCTGGATTTGTATTTAGAAAGGCTCTTCAAAGGTGTGAGCAGAAGGCCAGCAGGGAGCCACCAGAATCTGTACCAAGTTCTGGATGGCAGAGGCCTTTTGGGGGGACATTCTCAGTGTCTTCCAAGGCTGGCTGAGATTAGCGAGCGAGGAAGGTGGGGAAGCTGCTTGCTCTGGCTCCCCTCATTCCCAGTCCTCCCATTCAGCATCTTCCAGCTGCAAAGGTGAGGAGAAAACGAGAGTACAAACACACTTACTCCTCTGAGTCAAGCCCAGAGCCCACCTCCTCCTGCTGAGCAAGGCTAGCACTGGAAAGGGCCCATCCCCACAAGTAACCCCTAGCTTTAGGGATACACTGGGGGACACAGATGCATACTGCCTGAAGGAGGGGCTTGCTGCCTTCATTGCTTCAGATTCTACTTCCCCCAACTACAGCCAGCTCTGCATGGGATGGTCTGCCTGAGGAGCAAAGGCCATGCATCTTAAAAGCCAAGCACTGAGAGACGCTGTGACTATGAACAGGGCAGCAGCGTGCTGGTGCTGCAAGTGCTAATGTAGACAAAACTGCTCTTCCGTCAACTTTAAAGGAGCTGGACAAGCCTTAGGGAGTGTTGACTTGGATCCATTTGTCAGGTTAAATGGACTCTCTCCCCCTCCTGTTAGAGATATGTTCTCTTTGACAAGGTCTTGCAGGGGCTCTGCACTTACAGCTCAAGCCTGTTTTCAGCTGACTCCTGCTGCAGTAGACTGAGTGAGCTCCAGTACCCTGCCTAGTGGGTTTTGTTGTATGTTTGCTTATTCTTTTGAGTTGGAGATCTAGCTCAGAACCTCCCGAGTGCTTTGGAGAGTGTGCAAGCACAGAGCCATATTCCCAGCCAAGCGTATCAGGTTCTAAAGAGAGCTAGAAGATAAACATGGGGTCTTCTGTAATAGTGAGGAATAGGTCATTAGTTGCCCAGCTTTTCAATATGAAAAAGCAGGTCCCTGGTGGTTCAGGCCTAAGGTAAGAGGACTGATGCAAATTCATGACCAACCTGGGATTTAGTGAGTCATTGAAAACCTCCACCCCCTCTATGGAGGGAAAAAGAAAGGGAGATCAGGGAGGAGGGAAGCCGGGAGAGAGAAAAAGAGAGGAGAAAAGGAAACACGACTAAGACCCCATGTCTCTCTAATTCTCTAAACTGCCCACTTTTGTTTTTGTTTTGAGACAGAACCTCTTGTGTAGCGCTAGTTGTTCTAGAACTCGATATGTAACCACGCTGTCTTTGAACTCAAACTCAGAGATCTGTCTGCCTGTCTCCTGCGTATTGGGATTAAAGGTGTGCGCTATCATTTCTGGCCTAAACTGGTCCAACTCTTGATTTGGGGAGGCAGCAAAGAATGAAAACAAAAGGCTCATTTAAACTGAGTAGCAGGAATGGGTTTTTGTCCACTGGATGCCATCATATGACAGGCACCATACTTATAGTGTTTACATGATTTACCTTGGTAGAGCTTCAAAGCCAGCTAGTTTCAATCTTATATTTTAGATGAGGAGAGAGGTTAAATGACTTTGTCTCAAGGATCTTCTGTCTCTAAGGCCAGGAACCTGCTAAGGTCCTGTAAGTCACAGGACCAGGGTCAGGCTTCAGTATCTAAATACTTTTCTCTATTTTTTTTTTTTTTTTTTGGTTTTTCGAGACAGGGTTTCTCTGTGGCTTTGGAGGCTGTACTGGAACTCGCTCTGTAGACCAGGCTGGCCTCGAACTCACAGAGATCCACCTGCCTCTGCCTCCCGAGTGCTGGGATTAAAGGCGTGCGTCACCAACGCCCGGCTACTTTTTTCTATTTTAATCAAGGCCCAGTTCAGCCTGAATTTGCTGTTCACTCCAGGCAGTAATCTGTGTCTTCCTGAGCACTGTCTTACGCTGGGAGTGTGTCAGCATGCCCAGCTCAGCATCAGTTTTCTTCTTCTTAAGTGATACACACCTAAGGTGAAGAATTCCTTCCTGCATCCAGCAGCAGCATCCTTTCCTGCAGGCATTGGCTCAGCTGGATGCAGGGAGCAACATCAGGGCAGCAAGGTTTGTAGGGAAAGGGCTTCGACCCTGACATCATTGGACCAGCTTGCTCTGGCCGATTAGACCACTCACCTCACCCGAGGCATCCACTTTGGAAAGTGCCATCTGCACTTCCTCTTCAGTCATGTCCAAGTCAAAGTCCTTCTCCCAGTCCTCACTGATGTCCGTGCTTGAGCCTGGAATCATAGGACACATGAAATAAGCATTGCGTGACAAGGACGGAGTGTCTAAAGATGGTTATTATGCACACTTTCTCGTGTATGTATGCTAGCAATGTTTTTTTGTTTGTTTGCTTTTCGAGACAGTTTCTGTGTAACAGCTCTTGCTGTCCTGGAATGTGTACTGTAGACCAGGCTGGCCTTGAACTCAGAGATCTGCCTGCCTCTGTCTCCTGAGAGCTGGGATCCCAGATGTTTACTACTGCCATCCGGCATGCTGGCAATCTTTAAGGGAGATGACATGATACAACATCTTTTGAAGCATTTTCAATTGGGCTCAATGATCTTACCTGTAGAACTCTAAGGGAAAACCCTGGATGTAATTCTAAGGGATATAACTCAGGAGTAACACACTTATACAATACAACCAAGTCTAGTTAGAACCCTAGTAACACACACTTAGAGCTGGGGATAGCTCAGTGTTTGCCTATATGCACAAGGCACTAGGTTTTGTCCCTCAGAATGTATCAAACCAGGTGTGGTGACATCTGCTGTGCTCTCTAGCACTTGGGAGACAGAGGCAGGAGGTTCAAGAGTGCAGATCAGCCTTGACTACATAGATTTTTCCAGGCCAACCTGGGGTACATGAATACTTGTCTTTTTTTTCTTGAGATAGGGTTAACTATATAGCTCTGGCTATCCTGGAACTTGCTATATAGATGCTGGCCTTGAACTCACAGAGATCCATTTGCCTCTGCCCCTTGAGTGCTGGGATTAAAAACATGCCACCAAGCACAGTCCCTCCCTAAGGATTTGTAGGAATTTAAGAACTGGGAGGAGGGAAGAGCTCATAAGCCACTGTCTCTACCCAAAGATCTACACAGTTAACAGTTGCTGGGGGAGAGAGGTGGTTTCTGGTTCTGGTAAACTACCCATGATTCCGTAAATAGTTCCTCACCTAGGCTCTGGTAAGTAATCCTAACTCATGAATTCACAAGAAAAACAAAGAGGGTAACGGAAGGTGAATATGAATAAAATACTTTGTACATATGTATAAAAATTCTGTAACAGCAGTGGAGTCTCTTACCTCTTCCAAGTGCTAGGACTAGACACATGAGTCACCATGTCTGCTTATTTTTTTTGAAACAGGTCTTA